TATAGTGTCTAGAGTTATTCGACATACCCTTTTTGAGGTGATAAAATTCTGTCTTTTCCAACCTCCCACTTGTGTTATAGCCATCGCTGCTTCACCATTTGCTGAAGTGGATTAGAGATGCATTATTTTAGAAGCACAAAAGCAGCAATTAGGAAATCTGTTATCATCTAGAAGCAAACAGTGATGATCCTGAATTACACAGGAAAGCAAATTTTGATAGCTGCTGACAGAATGAATTGCTATCTCTCTAAAGGTGCCAGCACTAAAAGAATTCAAACTGATGAAGATTTGGACTGTGATGCTGAGCTATTATTTTCACTGTTGTATAATATGTCAGTATTTCAGTTGCTTAACTATACTTGTAGGATCAGGGCTTTTTTGTTTTCATGTTCTCTAAATTCAATCAAAGCTATAATCTTTATTATAAACTTAAAAGTGAAGGATTACGCAGGATTTTGTAGATCATAGTTTTGATCTTGGCCAGCTAAACTTGAAGTTTCAGTTTAAGTGCATTACTGTTAGAGTTTGGGGTTTGGGATGGTTTTTTAATGGGGCTGGCCATTTACCTTGCTTTGATTTCTCAGTATGTGAACTAAGGAGAAAGTTCAAGGTGTTTGAGGATTACTCCCAAAGGTCTATCCAGTCTTTTCAACATGTGCAAGTGCTTTGGAAAGGCAAACGATTGCATTGATATTCGAAGGTGAGAATATGTGTGAGTCCCAGATATAGCACTTGGCAAGCTGTTGGAACGAGGTAAAAGGAAAAACAGCAGCTCTCTGTCCACATATTCAGGCTAACGAGTCCTGTATGAAGCAGGCAAATGTCAGTTGTTCAAACTGGTGTCTGTATTTGATAAATACACTCAGTTTTGGCCTTGGTTGGGCTTGGGGACAATTCACACTGTAGCAATTCAATCTGACTCTTCTCTCTCTCCTGACTGCCTAGAGAGTTGAGCGAAGCCAGCTTTAGAAAATAGACCCCTGGAAAAATGGGCACTTGCTTGGGACAGCACTGCTGGGGCTGGCAGCCCACGCAGAGCCCAACATGGCAGTGCCAGAGCCCTGAAAATGGTCTCGCTGTCCCTGTAGCCAGGCCATTCCTCGCAGCAGCAATCTCCTCTCCCACACCCAACGGCACTAGCTCCACATCTCCAGGGCTAGCAAGTTGTATTTGTACCCTTGGGATGGCTAAATGCAGGTCTACCTACACTGCTGTGAGCCCTGAGCCAGCTCTAAGGCGGAGAATGAACAAACGTCTCCCTCCATCTCATCTGCCCTGTTTCTTACAGCATTTCCAGAGCCACAGACCAGCACAAACCATTATATCATCTGGGCTGACCCCAGCAACAATATAGGTTACGGTTTGCTCACCCATTTGCCCTTTTAGTCTAATGCATAATTTTATCAGTTTCTTAAGCTACCAGAGTTAGTTTGTTAGATCATTAGTGAATCAGGCAACGGGTAGGACCTTTGCAGATGGATTTTGGTAAGTAAAATTTGGCAAATTTCACTAATGATGCACTTCAGCAGCAATATGTTCTTTGTTCTCCCTTTCTTTAAAGGGCATGAAATCAGTGAATCAGCTTTAACTGTATTTCTTGTCAGCATGTCACAACCTCAGCGTCCTTTTAATTGTGTAGGAGCCTTGTAACTGTGTTAGTTAGATTCAGTGCTGAATTTGAAGGAAGCATGAAGGGTTTTTCTGGACTTTAGCACTGCCACTTATTCACACCTAGCAAATGTAAAGCTATTAGGAAACAGCTCCTCTGGAATGACCTCATATATAAAGAAGTGTTAAGAAAAAAGGACGTTTTCCCAGTGGGTAGGACTACCGTAGCAGTTCTGATGGCAGAAATGGAGCATCACTTTCTTTTTCTGTTCACATTTCAAATGCAGCCGTCACTGTAGTATCTAGGCATCAGTAGGAGAACTAGAAGGACTGAGATTAAAGAAGCTGATCTGAGCTGGGTTAAATACTACCTGCACTGATGGCCTTGCAATTTTTGATCCAGGCATTTGTCAGGAGGAAGGGACAGGTGTACATTTCAGTATTTTTTGATGCATAAATATGAAGAAGGTACTGTGGGAAAATATAGGCCCATAAATTTGGTTATTTTCAAATTATCTATGTATTTCAATCCAAAGGAAAAACATCTCAAGAACATGAAGTAACAGAACTATCATTAGTACGCCAGTATTTTTTAATATCAAGCAGGGAGCAGGAGCTTGAGCCCTGAACTTCCATCACACGCTTATTAGACAATTTTTAAGATGTGTTGTGGTTTCAAAATGTCTTCCCAAAAGAGAGAGATGATTAAATTCAGAATACATTTACAGTCAGTTAAAATCAGTTAAATTACAAGTGTGCTCTGAAGTCAGAACACAAGCTATAATATCATCATCTGACCAAGCTGTAGTCATTCGAGTATCTCATGAGCTGGTGTTCAAGTTGCAAATAGCTGGATGCTGTGCTAGAGAGAGTCAGATTTTCAATCCTCTCTTCTCACTCTCCAGATTGGTGTCTAAATCTGGGAGTTACTCCCACACCTCACATACAGAGTCTGCCTGGGATATGGTTGCTTATTAAAGGGAAAGCTGCCATTACAGCTGCTCTGATGTAAATCATTCATATCTTTGGCCTCGCCCAGATGTAAAACATCAAAGAAGCTGAATTACACTGTATGTTTACTGTCTTCTTCAGTGTATCCACCACACATGAAAGAGAACTAGTAACAACCCTTAAAATTGTATTCTGTCTGTATGCAGAGGACTGACACTGTATGAGGAAGAGAAATGCAAGCTTTTTGTTTTTAAGATCACCTTTCCTATTTGCCAAGAAGAAATGTTAAATTTATTATAACGAACTATAAGTTAAGCAAAGCCTTGCTCAGAAGATGATTATTTACTAAATAAATTCTAGAGCGGGGGAATAGAACAAATATGACTCCAATAGAGCAAACTTAAATCCCACACTGGGATAAACACTTCAAAACTAAACTCCACTTTAAAAAACAACACGGGTTTGTAGGAGCCTTAGTTCCGCTGAGGATTTGGGCTTTTAAGTCACTGAGAAGTTTAAAGATGTACTCTAGGTGAAAGAAATGAGCAAGAAACAAGCTACAAAATAAATCTGAAATACAGTCTGCATGTAGGAGTGTCTCTTCTCCTGACATACAGAATTTCAGCTACAGTCAGTGAAGTCATAGGTATGTGGGAAGACTGAAGAGTCTTATACCACAGCAGTGATTCCCAGCTGATTGGCAAAGTAGCCACTGCCACTTAACAAACTCAGTAGGTGATGCCAAAGAAGCTCAATGGAAAGGGAGTTAAAATGCAAAAATGCATCAAGGAAGAAGAAGGAGGAGGAGGAGGAGAGAAAAAAAGGAGAGGGAGGAGGAGGAGGAGGAGAGAAAAAACCAAATACTAAAGCCCAAATCAAACCACTCTGCTAAGCCAGCTTGAAGGTACCTAGTGTCTATGCAAAATGTGGGATCTTGGAAAGGTCAGATGTTATTATCCAATGAAAAGTTAAAGGGCACTGAATAAAATTACTCAGTTGTTGTTGCAAAGCATCTAGACATTCTGGGAACCGAGCCAGTGTGAACGGCAAATGATCAAAACAAAAATAATGCTGAGATTTCTGCTAGGAGAAAATGAGAATATTGCTGTCTTACAGCATTCTCACATAGCTCAAACAGCAACAAACAGGGAGCAGACCAATAGGTTATAAATGCACAGTAAGGATTTATTTGCTTAAACTGAGAGGTGGTGTGATCTGGTGGGATGTACCTCCATCCTCTAAGGGAGGAAACCTTGTGTGCTGTTTTCACTTCTGCTCCAGACTTGCTGTGGGGAAATGTAGACCCTCCTTTTGAAGCAGGCAGTGAAGGAAAACATTGAGGTGCAGGAAACATCTTCTCTTTGCTGGCATCAGTCTGCAACGTCTTACTCTTCAAAGTGTCGCTGACTCATTGAAATGGACTTTGTACACCCCCTCAAATTAGTCTTCTAGCTCGCATTGGTAGATTTCCCAGGTTTAGGCTGAATTATGACTCCCTGTGTTGCTGGAGCATTGCCTTTAGGTTGTCAGTGTCAAGGAACTAGAGCTTGTCTCCCAAACTTCAACTTTTCCTCTTGCAAACCAAACTCAGCCCGTTAGGTCACACAATGAGCAAGGGGAACGTGCCAGCAGGAGGGCCCATTGACCAGGCTGCACAAGGGATGTGTCCTTTCAGAGAGGAGCCTCACCAAATGATACACCTCTAGCTGAATCCTTGCCCCAACGCTGGTCCCATGTTGCTGGTCAGCAGGTCACAACGTTTTACAAAGCTACAGCAGAGCTATGGAGGAGAACAAGGTGTGGGAGGTGGGGTTTTGCCATTCTTATGCAGCTTAAACAGGTCTGGAGTTTCTAGGATCACCCACCCTAAGACCGAGCTATGGCTCTACCTATTTAAAAGAAACAGAGCCCAGTCCTCAGTGGGCTGGGTAAATAAGGTGGCTTATTGCTCATACAACAATTTCACAGCTGCTTCAGGGATAATTAGACTTTTATATATCTCCTTCAGTTTGGTGGGATTTCACACTAAATGCTTGACTCATTAGTAACTTCAGTGCGTCATCCCACTGCCCCTAACAAGGTATCTCATTGTTTGGAAGGAGGAATGATATAGTGGGAAACTGCTTTCAACATCCTTTTTGCAGACTGAAAGATATTTGGTAACACATTTTAAACCTCCTTTCCTTTCCTGAGAGTGCAGGAGAGAGGGTCTAGCTATTTGACTTTTCACATAGTCAGTGCTGAAATGTTCAGGTACCACAATAAAGAGGGCATATATTTACCTAAGATAATATATTAACGCGAGATTCTATTAGACCTCAATTTTCAGGACGTGCCTTACACTCATTAATTTAATATTAATTTGCATTTAGCAGACCTAATGATTATATAGGTCAAGAAAACTAAAATATCTTTATTCTCTGGTTTTTTTATCTCCTTAGAGTACGCTCGGTTTGAGGCAAAAATCCATGACCTGCGTGAGCAGATGATGAATCACAGCATGAGTTCTGGGTCCGGCTCCCTGAGGACTAATCAGAAGAGGTCACTGTATGTCAGGTAAGCAGGAAGAGCTTTCTCCTGGGAATATGTCGGCAGCTACCTTGTCTACGCCTGACTTGTGTGTTGTGGGTTCAGCAAGGTGGGAAAGAAGTTTGAGGAACTGCATTGAATTGAACTGAGAAATGCATCAATCTTACAAGCACAGTATCATTAGTGTGAAAATTGGATAAAGCCCTATTGCTTAATCGGATCATTTCAAGCCATTTTCAAAGAGCATTATACTTTTATTGTGATTCGGTTTTATCAGATGAAGATTTCTTACCAGTTGTCAGCTCTTTCGATATCTGAGATGGATATTGTGGTGTAGTGATGCATTGCGTTTCTGTGTGAGGTCTTGCCCAGACATGGAATGATTGTTCTCATAAAGAGCACTTTTTCCCCAAGAACTTGTTCTTACAAAGCAAGGACTATTACATGCTATTCTAAATGCATGACAATCTGCTGCTATCCCCTTGCATATGTTTACCCTTCTATCAGTCTACGCTACAAAGAATTTACCATCCACCTAGCAAGATCAAATATGCAGATGAGATGCTAAACAAGATGATGTACATAGCTTAAATGGGGTAGTGAATAAGATAGGAACTGCCTAACTGTGAGCCAGGCGGTAGCAGTGGTTATAGTTTTGCTTTGACTGTGCAAGTCTATTGCCGTAGTCATCACTGTGTGAAAGGCTGGATGTTGCCCAATTGCCCCTAGCAAAGTTCTTGCTGTCACTCATGCCTTTTGGGACTCGGGGAGACTATGGGACTCCATGCCAAATATTTTAATAATCTTAATAATTATGCTTCTCTAGGCTTTTCATTTTTCCCCCCATGCTCAGCATATAATTTGAAATCCCTGACAATCATGAAGTAGAGGGAAGCAATTTGTCAGCCTCCAGGCAGTGATAATTATTCATGGGGGAGCTAATTCAGGTGATAACATTGCAGAGATCCAATTAAGGATAAATTCTACATTTTGTCATTATGCCCTCAGCATGAAGGGGTAAGGTAGCAGAGAAGGAAGGAAAAACTTAAATGTTAGCATGGATGGTCTTATTCTAGCAACCACATGAAGCACTAATTAGTACTGCTGCCAGAAAGAGCAAGGACTGAAAGGGTATGGATCACTGTTACCAGTGATCTTGCTGTTGGGCAAGGTCAGGTTGGAAGTGTCATGATTTTCGATGCATCTCTAACCTTCTCTGACCTCTCGGGCTTTGTGTTTACTTCTGGAGCAATTCCACCTGCAGTAGGTTTTTTCCAGACCAAACACAGAGTGACTTTGTTGTCAAGAGCTTTGGTCAGCTCCCTGAATTTGCATTTTATGAAAAGCTACAGTCATTGGACATGCAGGGATAGATCCAAGTCTACTTTGCTTGAGGTAAGCCAGGAACCCAAAATGTGGGGAACAATGGTGCAAGAAGTCCAAGCCAGCAACCGCAAGTCGATTCAGGTGTACACACAAAGGGCTAAGACAGGGTCCTGAACAACTGACTGGTTTGAGCTGCGGCAAAGCTCAGTTACCCCTGCTGAGAACTGAGCTTATTAGCTTGCCCACTGAGCCAAGCTAATATATCTGTGCTGCGTCTGGACTAGCCTAGTTCTTCTATACGGTATTGCTCTGTGTGCACTGATGAGCCTGATTTTCTGCTAGTTCATGAATTCTGGATGTGGTCTGTCTCACTAAACTGATATGCCCTGGTGCTTCACGGCAGGAGTCTTTGATGTCTTAGCTGCATATCTAAATATCACTTCCCAAACCGTAAATGCAAAAACTGTTCTTTTATTCTAGAGTCGTTCCAAAAAATGCCCCAAACCTCTCAAGGAGATAACCTCAAAAGCCTCAGTCACTTCTGTTAGCATAATTTTTTTGCAGTCAAACCCACACATTTGGCTGTGTCCAACTCTGAGAAGTCTGAGAGGGTCTGTATTTTACATATTATTATAATGTGTTTGTAGTGCAGCAGTGCCTGCAGCATTGTGCTAGGCACTGTTAGTTCAAATCATATACACTAATTACAAAGGTAGCTTATGTCTATGTTAAACACTAAGGAAAAAATAAATGTGGGCTCAGAAATGTGCTTGTTTTCAGAGACTGAAATTTTCACTTTATTGATAAACTCTTTACAGCCAGGGACCCATGTAAGAAGTCTGGGATTTAGCTTTTTTTTTTGTATTCTTACAACTCAGGACATTTCTGTTTCAATGGATTATTTTGGTCAGCATGTGCAAGACAACTAGAGGCAAATTACCGTATGTTGCAAATCTGTAGCTGTAATGCCAAGTTTATGATTCAAGTTTGCTGTTTTCCTGTCTTCGGGATGTAGTGATTTTGCTGTCCTTCACTGAGTACAAGCATAGTTATTTTTTAGCCAGAGAGCTTAATCAAAGTAAATAACTATGTTGCGCAAGGAAATAAATTAAGGTCCATATAGGTTGTAATAATTGAAAATAAGTGGCATTATCTGCTCATAGAAAAGCCAACAGAAAAGAGAGTGAGAAAAAGCAAAGCTCTGTAAACAGATTTGCCAGTGGATGTGGTGTTCGTTGGATGCAGGGTTTTCTTCTTTACCTTACAGTCTGTGATTTCCCCATCCAGTCCCTACTAAAATAGCATAGCATTTTTAATTGAGATATGTAAAAGAAGTTATATGAAATGAAGTGAGGTAAAATTTAACATGGGGATAATGGGTTGAATGTAGGACTAGAAGTAATTGGCTGAAAGCAATTAAAAGTCACACTTAAGCAATGTATACAACCACAGGAAAATGATCAAGAATGATTTGTTCAGAAGAAATTGTGTAATTCTGACATGATCTTTTATCTGTGCATATTCTTGTGTTTCTGATTTTTAGTATTTTTTACTTTCTTTATCCCAGTCTGTCTTTCTGATGCCTCCTGGAATATTTCCCAGGAATTTCCTGAATTTTTTTTTTCAGCACTACCTGTTCCTTTTGTATCACAGACCCTATATCTCTGTTTGGGATGTTATCAGAAAGTCCACAACACTAAAGGCAAAGTATGAGATGTCAGGGGAGGACGGAGCAGTAGGAAACGCTGTTAACTCTTTTGGGGGCCCACATCCTCTTTGTCACTAAATCTCTCTGTCGAGGAAAAAAAATACAGGAAGAAAAGCAGAAAGTGAGAGAATAGATATGAAATATAGCAAATATTATTATTTATAATTTATCTGTTGGTGAAGGTGAATGAACTTAACTTGAATTCAATAACTGAAATGAGAGTTTAAAAAATTTTCTGCTGTTATCCTTTTTAATTCATTGGAATTCAGCCATCAGCTCATGGTTGGTGAAGGTGAATGAACTTTAATTGAATTCAATAACTGAAATGAGAGTTTAAAAAATTTTCTGCTGTTATCCTTTTTAATTCATTGGAATTCAGCCATCAGCTCATGATTAATGAGGAAAGTGAACAAATCCATCACCAACTAAATGCTGTGCTATATACATACATGGGGGGGTAGTGTTTCTTATACAAATTCCTATCTTCTTTTTTGTCTTTTTGGCTCAAGGTTTTAAAATCTGCTCTTGTAAGATTCTGTATTTGGTTGTCGTGAAATAGATACATGCTTTGCTTTGTCCTTCTATGTCCAGGTCCATAGTAAAATCTTTCAGGCTACATTTGGTTACTATTGATACTCTTAGGAAATGCCAGATCATGTTATTTAACCCACAGGCTATGGAACATGACAGCCTTTTGAAGAGTTAAGCATCAGAGAAGTACAGTCCTTTAAAAAGTTTGGTGAATGCGAGCAGCCATTGAAATTTTAGTATAAAATTGCCAAGCTTTGGAGGAAACTGACCTTAAGCACGATGAAGGGCTTTTCCTGTTGATTTACGAGATTCCTCCTGAGCTTAAAGTCCTTCTGCTATATTTCTGAGGGTAAAAGTAGATACTTCAGTCATTGCTACTAGTTGTACAAAGAAAAGGTTTTCAGGAATCATCTGGCATTCAAGAACTGCCTTCTTACAGTCTGTTGTAAGTCTCATTTACAGGTGAAAAATAATTAGATAAGCTTAGAATAAACAGCCATGGCACCTTTTAATCTTTATTCAAACCAGACAGCTTCTGAAATAATGTCTATAATTAAAAATTCCAATTGTCCAAAGCCACAAACAGGCGCTGTGGAGGTGTATCACTCTGCAGAAACAACTCAAAAGCTTCACACACACCCCAGCCCTTTCATCGCCGCTTCACTGTTTAAAATCTGTTCAATACCATCGGTGACCAAACACCATTCCGCCTAATCATGGCTACTTGTTGCCCTGTATAAAGGGTCTGGCTGAGCTTACTACAATGCAGAAATTTCAACTTCAGCACTACTTTTAAATATGTCAGCACAATGCAAATTGTACAGTTGGCTGTAAAGGTGGGTATGGAAATCAGAGCTGGAACAGGGCTGGATCCAGCTGTAATTTTAGAAGAAGTGGTTCTGCAGCTGCCTCTCCACCAACTGTCCAGGGGAGAAGTGTAACGAAGGGCAGAGCCTCTTCCCAATAACATAAGGAAGTTTAAGATCAATCTTTTTTTCCAGCCCATGCTGCACTAATTATAAAAACTGTACACAGTGCGAACAGGTGCCTCTTAGTCCACTACCTTTTTTGTCTTCTAGGTGGAATTAGTGCTAAGCATTTCATAGCTTTGATAGGTGTGTGCTGTACAAACACAAAGTATTATGTGTTAAAAATGAGTGTGTTCTGGTTCATTTTTTATTGAGCCATGGGGAACAGAATCTGAAGATTTGCCATAGCAACTTAGCAGCAGCTGAAGGGAAGTCAAGGTTGAGGTACTTTGGGTTGTTTACTCTGATTTCCAGCACAATGAATTCTCCATTAGGCTTTAGACACCTTTATACACATTTCCTGAACTTCTTAGAAATCAGCATGATGCCGTATCGCTTAGAGAGACTTTGATTTTCAACAAATCACAGAAATTGTCACTTGGGAACTTTGCTGAGTTACAGCTGAAGTTTGGCTGAGGCAGTTTGTGAAGACT